GCAGCTCTGAGGTCCAGCCTCAGCCCCCGAGGGGCCCCACCCCACGGGCCACTGACCGGCAGGCCGGGAAGCAGTTCCGCTGGGCCGCCGGCTGGATTCCCTGCTCTGGACCTTCCCCAGGAGCCCCGGTGGCTTCTCGGGTCATAGGTTGGGCTGGTCCCCGCCAAGGCAGCGGAAACCACCTGCCGGAGGAGGAGGAGGCTTTGTACTCCCGTCTGAGGGACAGACTGGGATCCCGCAGGGGCAGGTCCACCCTGTCCCACAGGGTCGGGGCGGGCTCCAAGGCAGAGAGTTTGAGTGAGAGGCGGGAAGGTGAGCCCCAGAGCCATTGGGTGAGTTACCTAGGGTCGCGCGGCTGGCTTTCAGCCGCCCACGACCTCCTTTCCATCAGCAGCAACAAAAAACAAACAGCGTGTAAGTGTTGCTTTCTGGTTAGTGTTTATGCATGTCTTCCCAAGGCTCGGGAACTTTGAAAACCCTGTAAGCATTATGGTAATTTCCAAAGCGACGGCAGTATATTAACATCTTAGGCAGCTCATAGCGTTTCCGCAGACAGGCTCGTTTATCTTCATAGATTTTTATTATAACAGGTATTTACATATTATACATATTTACCATTCTTTCCCACCACCAAAACCAACATTTCCACAAGCCTCGCTCATGAATTTCTTATTAAGGAGGGACACTGAAATATTCACTCCTCTGCCCGCGCTGCTTTCTCGGGCTCTTTCCACTTGGTAATTTACCCTCTGATTAGTTCCTCCACGGGCTCATTTCCACATCTATAGAGCTCATCATTTTTGCTGCTCTACAGAATCTTTATCACTTCAAATCATGAGCTTCTGTGCCTGTCTGCTTTCCCTTTCAGCTCCATCTACACAGCTTCATGAGTTCCACTCCTTTCAGGAAATGCTCATTACATCAGCTGGTGCCAGGCCCTGGCCTGGGATATGCTCTGTGCTCTTTAGGAAAACAGCTCATTCAGGTGTAAGCAGTGCCAACACAGGGGGTGAGAGTGGGCAGGTGTGACGAGGGAGGTGGAGGTATGACCGGTGTGGGGCCAGACTAGGTCAGACTGAGCTCCATCACTCCATCAGTGGTGGGAGCAGGGTCAAGTCATAACCAGCCTCCCCTTCGGTCACGCTCAGATTGTGCTGGGGGCCCTGGATCCGACCCTGCTCTGCGAAGCATACAGGGGCCTGGGTGACAAAGGAAACCACCATGTGGCAATGCCGTGTCCAAGAGGACAGGTCGGGCAACTGTGGTGTTTGATCATCCTCACAGTTGTCCGGGGCCCTAAAGTTCACTGCACTGGCCACCTCTTGTTTTCACCTGCAGGGATAGTCTTTCTTCTTCTGGGGGTAGGGTAGCCTCATCTCATTCTCCTGGCGTGTAGATTAGGGGGTGTAGTGCTTATGCATTGGGTCACTAACAGTTCAAAACCACCAGCAGCTCAGAGAAAAAAGGGATTTCTACTCCCATGAAGAGTCAGTGTTTCAGAAACCTACAAGAGCAGGTCTACTTTGTCCTAGAGGTCACTATGAATCACAGTCGACTTGTTGGCAGCGAGTCTGGTTTCCTTTTGAGTGGACTCAATGGGGCTGGCCTTTCTCCCCACCCCACCCCCCACTGCCAAGCAGAGGCAGTTGGCATATCCTCTTCTGATAATAGGGAGGCAAGTCTGGGTGGACATATGATCCACCTGGCCTAGATTCAGTCCTCGGACTTGTGCTGGACTTAGGGTTGGGAGGTAAAACAGTCATGCCAGTTACAGTTTCACTTTGCTAACTCGGGTCATTCTAATTGAATATTTAAAGTGTGCTGATTTGGTAGAACATAAGCCGGGAACTGCCTGGAGAAGACCTTCCTGAGGGTGAAATCAATGGACAGGAAGACAGCGGGGAGCAAAGAAAAAGACAGGAGTCTGGTGACATGGTGTGTGGCTTTGATTCCCACCCTGCCTGAATCTGATCTACCTGGAGACCCTTCAGGTGGTGAGCGGACAGCGCACTTCCTTCTCTGCCTAGGTGTTCCAGTTGGCTGCCATTGAGCTGTCTTGTGGTGACCGCATGCATACTAAAGGAGTGACAGAGCTGTTACTAATTTTTGGAAGTAGATTGTTAGGTCTTTTCTTCTTCTTCTTCTGAGTCTGGAAGCTCTGTTGAAATCTGTTCCACTTCAGAGTCACCTGAAAGCCCACACTGACAGATGGGTAGGGGGGTGCACCCAAGGCTCCCAAGCCCAGAGTCAAAGCCAGGTCTCCCACGCGGAAGGCCAGCACTCTGCCATGGAACACCACTTCGCCCAGAGCAGAAATAGACGTATCCAGACACAGATTGGCTCCTGGGCCCACAGGATTCAAGAAACGTGGTTGAATGCCTTAACATAGCTAAAGACGAATGCTTTGAGAAGGAGAGCCTCGTGGTCTGTGGGAGCCTAGCTGGGGAAGTCAAGTGCGGACAGAGCCCATTCTGGCACAGGGCAGAAAAGGTGTCTTCGATCTGACCATCCTCCAGGGGGAGGTGCTTGGTGAGCTCAGCCCCAGTCTTGGCTCTGCTTTCAGCACGCCAATTCTATGGCGCGTGGTTTCACACCTAGCTCTCCTAGCGGATGCAGCCATCTACTGCTGCCAGCAGCTCAGTCAACAAGACAGGTGTCTTTCTAAGTAGCATCGTGGAAGGAAGGCCACTCTTTTATGCTGACTCCTTTGCCACGTGGCAGTCTCCGCTCTCTGCTCCGCCCAGTGTGGATCAGGGAGGCTGGGGACGATGCGGGAGGACCTTCATCTGTCTGCAAGTTGCTCCTCTCCCTCCAGAGAGCGTATTGGGATCACGGGGATGAGGAGGAGCAGGCTCCCGTCCTTTTCCAGATGCTCTCTTTAGACCAGGTTCTTTTCTATTTCCACGGATTCTGCATGAAGGCAGCCTTGGGGCATGGGGCTGGAGTCGAGCAGGGGAATGAGATTCTAGATATGTATATAGACACACAGATATGAGCTTCAACCTTTTCATAAAACAATGAAAGTAGACATAAAAAGCCCTTCCAATTCCATTGTTTGCACCAAGATTTTGAAGCCCCCTCCATTACATTAGAAATGGGAACAACAATGAAAACACTAGACAAGACACACCCAGTTGCCATCTAGTGGATTCGGACTCAATGGGACTTGGGTCTGTCATAGTAGAACTGTGCTCTGGACATGTTTCAACAGATGGGGTTTGGGAGCTAGATCATCGGGGCTTGCTGGGTAGATTCACACCTCCCACTGTTCGGTTGCACCACCCAGGAATTCTTCGGGTTACACGGCCTTTTCTAAGAATATCTGAAATCAGACACATACCTCACCACCACAAAGACTGATTTCCTCCAGCAAAACCCTTCTCTTCTCTATGAAAGACCCAGGTTTCTACTGCTGGCTAAACTTAGGCAGCATTATGAAAGCCTGAAAGCATCTATGGATCAACAATGAGAGATCCAGACCCCGCTCTGTTTCTTGAAGCCCTGGTTGTCTCCATTCTCCACTAGGA